GGTCTGGGGTAAACTGTATGTATGTGTGTGTGTATATATATATATATGTATATATATATATATATATATATATATACACACATATACACACGTGCACACACACACACACATATATATATATGGATAATATTGGTGCTAATTTAGGGACTCTAGTTCATATATTAGAAATATGTGTAAAAATTTGTTAGTTGGCTGAATTCAGAGGGTTGGCCTTTCCAGACCTTCAGGTCCCTATGGTTTCGAGAGCCCAAACCCACAATTTTCCTGAAAGAAGGGCAGATGAAGTCTGTGCCTCTTGGGGTGGATTTAGAGACTCCCAGAACGGCAAGCCTGAAAACCTGAAGTTTAAAACTTCTGATGACAGAAGGAAGGTTCCTGCTACAGCTCAAGATCTGCAGTTAGAGAACAGATTGAATGCTTTTGTAGGTGATGGGGGTCTTGGTGCTCAGTCCAGTGAAGCACCCAAGCTGGTAAATCTGAGCCATGCAGAAGCACCAGGAGAAAGTGGGAAGTGGTAACAGTAGGGAAATTCCCTGCTGCAAGTGTTCGAGACTCCCATCTGCTGACCTGACCTGACCTGACCTGTCATCTAGAGAGACTTGTTGACTCTTCTCTGGCTTCACGCTACTACTCCCTGCTGCTCTCCCATGCAGGTTTCAATGATATCACCTGAAGGGATCTTAAATTATCAGCTGTGACTGTATAGTTCTGGGGTGATGACCAAGAGTGTGGGAGCCTGGGTGGATTCTCCTTGATCCTTTGGGTTAGAGCAAAGTGCTCTAACTGAGCATTTTGATGAGTGGAGTGATCCTGTGAATAAGCTGGTTACACAGATGGTTGGTGTCAGCAACAGAATTCTAGTTTTATGATCATGAGGGTCTTTTTGAGGATTGCTTGGAAGAGATGGGATTCACCTGATTAAAACAAAAGCATCTCTGCTAACTACCTTATGAGCAATTGGTGGACCAGGTTGGCAAACAAAATGTGGTACAAACAATGGAGACCTTGTAATAAAAAAAAATCGGGACTGATGGAGGCCTTTCCCAAGCATACCCATATAAAAAAGGAAGTGCTTTTCAGAATTACAGGGAAAACTCTGCTATTCTTTCCAGGAAGTCAGCATGGATGGTTGCCTCTCTGAAATGTCCATGTACTCATTCAGACAGCATGGAATGCAAAGAAAAGGAATTATATGTCTGCATGCAGTTTCAGTTATGATTTCGTTGAGATTGTGAAGATACAATAGGATAGCTCATATTCAATCACCTTGATATCTGCTGGAGAGATTGTGTAGCTTGTTTATGTGCTGGGTTGGGTGCGGGCAGTTCAGGAGGTTTCTGGAGTGTGTTGTCTACTGGATCTCACACCTGCAAACAATGAACTGTTGGGGGATCTGAAGGCTGAGGGCAGCTTTGGCAGCACTGACCAGGAAATGATAAAGTTCAGGATCCAGAGAAGAGGGGATAGGCAGAAAGCCAGGTTGCAACCCTGGACTTGAGAGCAAAGACTTTGGCCTGTTCAGGATTCTGAAACTAGTAGGAAAGTCCAGGAAAAGGTAAACCTTCCCTCAGTGGAAGAGAATCAGGTTAGGGAATATTTAAACAAACTCGTCACATGCAAAGCCATTGCCCTGGTGTGGTATGTCCTGAGGGAGCTAACTGATATTGGGAGGTCCCCCTTAATGGTCTTCAAAAAGTTCCTGTGATTAGCAAAGGTTCATTAAAACCAGAAGAATGTACATCCTGTCTTCAGGAAGAGCAAGAAGTCTCTTTTTTTTTTCCTGAAAACTACAGGCTGGTCAGCCCCATGTGAACCATTGAAAGATGATGGAACAAAAAATCCTGGAGGCCATTTCCAAACATATGAAGGACAAGAAGGTGGTGGGAGCAGTCAGTGTGGATTTATGAAAGGGAAGTCATGTCTGAACAATCTGTTAGTCTTCTACTATGAGATCACTGACTTGGTGGAGTGAATGTTGTTTATGTTGACTTCAGCAAAGGTTTTGTCAGTGTCTGCCATATGTTGACAAAGCGATGAGGTGCAGCAGAGGTGAGTGGAACAAACTGTCTGAAATGCCAGACCCAAAGGGCAGCAGGAGCTCCAGCTGCAGGCTGGTCACTGGCAGTGGTGCCTCAGGGGTGGGAAATGGGGCTGATGCTGCTCAGTGTCTGCAGCAATGGGCAGGAGGACAGGGCAGAGAGGAGTCTGAGCAAGTTGGCAGGTGCTGCAAAGCTGTCAGTGTTTGACTCCGCAGAGGGTCGTGCTGCCATGTGTAGAGGCCTCAAGAGGCTGGAGAAATGGGCTGCCAGGATGCTCATGAGCAGAGGGAACTGCCAGGTGCTGCAGCTGGAGAGGAATAAAGCCAGGCACGAGTACAGGCTGTGCCTGGGTGTCTGGGAAGCAGCTTTGTGGAGAAGGGCCTAGGGATCCTGGTGGCCATGAAGCAGAGCATGAGGCAGCAGGATGTGCTTGTGGCAGGGGCAGCTGCTGGCTCCCTGGGCTGTTTTAGGCAGAGTGCTGTGGGCAGGAGGATCCTTCTGCCCTTCTCCTTGCTGGTGAGGCACCTTTGGAGTTGTGTGTCCAGTTCTGGGTTCTCAGGTACAAGAGAGAGATGGAGAGAGTGGAGTGAGTCTTGTGCAGGGCCATGAAGGTTTTTGAGAGACTGGAGCCTGTAACATCTGGGGAGAGTCTGAAAGCGGTGGGACGGGTCAGTCTGGAGAAGAAAAGGCTCAGGCTGATCTTACTGTTGTGTCTGAAAGCATTTTTAATCTTAAGGGTGATCAAACGCTGGAATTTCCATCCTTTGAGATACTCAAAACTTGGCTGCATAAGGCCCTGAGCAATCTGTGCTTTAACTGTTTCTGCATTGAATAAGGGGATTGGTCTGCAGAGGTGCCTTCCAACCTCGAAAGCTGTGTGATTTAGGCCGTGGTTAGTGGTTTGTACTGCACGTGCAAGCTGATAATAAATTAAGTACCTCCGGGGGCTATCCTGAAACTTCTTCAGTCTAACATCTTTGTTGAGTACTGGAGAAGGCCGTGGAGTGCACTCTCCTCATATCTGTGATTTCCACCAAATTGGTGGAACAGTTAACAGTTAAAGAGTGAAAGGACTTGAATCTAGAAGAGCTCTGATTGTCTAGCTTGGAGAAGAGAAATTGGGAGATCCTAATAGCAGCCTTACAAAGCTTATCAAGAAGATTGAGTTATTGTACTGCAGTGGACAGTGGAGCAACAAGACCAGTGGGTGAAAACTGATACAAACAATAGCCTGTAGATAGAAAACCTTTTTCCTATTCAAGCAGTGGAGCAGATTCTACTGCATGCTCTATCTGCCTCTCTAGGAGGAGGTTGGAGGATTTCAAGACCGATGTGGGCAAAGCCCTGAGTAACCTGGTTTGACCTCACAGCTGGTCCTGCTTTGAACAGAAAGCTGAACTAGAGATGTGAAGTCCCTCTCAGCCTGAATGACTCTGATTTTTCAGTTAAGTTTCACTGATAAATTTTTCATGTTCTGTTTGCATGTCAGCTTTTTGCATGTGTGGTGCCAGTCTTTTGCTGTTCATTATGTAGTTTAGCAGTCCTCTTGTAATCTGGTTTTATAATGGTTTTTGACTTCACAGAAGAAGTAATAGAGGAATATTATAAGCCATAAACTTGTGGCTGGTGTGTATCCAGAAGTCAGAACACTGCTTTAGCTATGACTTGCAGGCTCTGGAGGAGGGATGGAGATATTCAGCATTGTGACTGTGTGACATTTTGGGGGTGATTTTGGGGGTGGAAAGACGTAACTCTGCTTTCCTGTCAACTTAATTCAGTTTAGTATGCAGGGTTTGTTATTCAGGCAGAACCTTTTTGCTGCCTGTGGTGTAATGGTTGGCTTTGCTTTGTGAGCTGGTATTGCCTGTTTGCAGGCTAGAGCTTGCAGGGTTTACATGGTACAGTCGTTGGTGCAGAAAGCAGATGCCTGTTACTAGTTCTCACTTTGCTGTTTCAATGGTTGAAGTGCTAAATGTTTAGCAGGAAGTCTTGGGATGAGCTTTTCCACTGAAGAAAACAGGAATAAGGTTTACAGATATGGCTGTCCCAGATCTCACCAATCTGGCCAGTAAATGTTTGAGGAACCACTAAATATAACTATGGCTTCCATGTGGAGTACCCCAGGTGTATTTTTTTTGATCCTCTGAAGGAATTTTTCAGTCTTTATGACTTCCTTCATTCTCTAGAGACTTTCTTATGTGTATGATTTCAAGGGATGGGGAGACTTCTTGGGAAAAGACATATATACCATGTAATGGTAGCAAGTTCATAATGCAACTCCGATAATAGACATTAAGAGCAGTAGAAGTATTTAATCTTAATTCTTTGATGCATAATCACAAGTGAAAGTAAATATCTCTTTGATGAAATCCTGTGAGGGCATGTTCATGCAGCAAAGCTTTGCATTTCTGTATAAACAACAGTAAAAGTCATCATGATGAAAAAAAATTTCTTGTTAAATAATTTTTAGGTAAATAGTGATGTATTTGGCAAGGCAGTTGCTAAATTGTTGCTAAATTGTATTTAGCAAGGTAGTTGGCTCAGGATCCTTATGAATTTGAGAACCTTTCCATATTTATTTCCATATAAAATAAAATGCTTTGAAAGCCCTGTGAACAATAGGTAAAACTGTCCAAGAAATAAAAATAAACTTTGTAATGCTGCCAGAATTAATATTGCTGAAGCATCACTAATTGATTTCCTTTAAAAAATAAAGAAAAATGCATGTTGCCTTAACCATGATGAGCTTTCTTGTGTGTTTTTTCACTTTGGCCTCTCTTGTAGCAGTTACCCACAGAACATTACCATTGCATATTGCTTCTTTGATGTACTCTCTTGGTTAAACGGAATATATGACTTTCACTGAGAATATATGACTGCATTGGTGTTTTCTTATGCCTTTGAAAGGCAGAAAAACTTAAATGTAGTCAATAATTGTGCATATATGTGTTTCTCTTTTAGTGGAGGCGATAGTGGAGTTTGACTACAAAGCTCAACACGATGATGAGCTGACAATCACTGTAGGTGACATAATCACCAATATCAAGAAAGATGATGGAGGCTGGTGGGAAGGACAGCTCAAAGGCAGAAGAGGTTTGTTCCCTGACAACTTTGTAAGAGTGAGTACAAAGTGGAACTGTTTTTGTGCTATGTGTTTAAGTTTTATGTACTGTGCTGTTCAGGCTAAATATCAGCCTTTATATCATAATATCTCTTATATCAAAACCATAATATATTGCATATACACATGTATTGTGTATACACATATTTTTCATATAATAATGCAATGTTCTATTGAGACAATGTTACAACAAAAAGATTACTTTCTTTGCAAAGACAAGCTGAAAATAAAAGAAGCTACCCCTAAATTTCTCTGGTGTTCAGTGAAAATACTTGACTTCGTGGTCTAAGAAGAAAGTGGTTATTCTAGAACAACTTATAGGCCATTGCATTTTAAATATTTTATCTTCTCTGTAACAGATTCTGCTTTTCCCAAGTGTTTTCTTAGGTTTTATAGAAGCTTTTTTTGGTGAATATTTATTCCTGGCTAAACTAGTTAAGAATAATTAGATTTTTCTGTACAGTTGCCTATAAAAACTTTTTAAAAAAGATTAATTTGTATTCACTTAATATACCAAATAACTTGCAGTAATCCTTGTTTTAGGACAACCATTCATAGTTTTAGAAAGAAATTATATTTTTTACTGGGCATCTGTGTTTGCACACATATGTCTGCACATACGAAGCCAGCTATTAGTACCTCTGGCCCTCCTTGATTTGTCATTGCAGATGTAGGCTGTTAATTTCCAAAAGTTTCCATAAACCTGGCTCTCCACAATGGAAAAGAGACCAAAAACGACAATAAATTACGTAAATAGATTTTATGCTAATCTTTTAGTAGAGCTTCTGAGGAGCTTTGGTACTTTCCCTTTTCTAAGGGTATAAGTGTCTTTCTTTTTTATTTTTTTAGCTTCTTCTACTGTTATGTGTTTAGACATATGGACATAATGAAGTAATTTCATTTTGCTTCCATAGTGCTGCATATGTCACTGGGGAAGTGGTCTGGCTGTGAGTTTAGCCAGCCCATAGCAGGGGGTGTGGGGGTGGACAGGGAGCCCCGAGGGGCTGCTATTATTTCTGTGGGGATGAGCACACACCCTGATCCTTGCTCCTGTCATTGGCAAGAAAAAGGAGCAGCTCTGTGTGTGTGAGGCTGCAAAAATTAGGAGCAAGCCAGGGCTTCAATGAGAGGAAAGGGCATGGTGGAGGACAATGAATAATCTGGTTTTTGCTTATCTCTGAAAATACACACTTTGAGCTAGGGGAAAGAAACTGTTTTGGTATTCATTGTGTATTGGTAATATTTTTCTGCTTGAACTCTGGTGAAGTGAACTGTGGGACAAATGCAGACTTCCTCTAGGCTTTTTCCTGGCTGATATTTTAAATTTGCTGCTGATTTTAGGAGGTGTCAGATTTAGTATTCTAAACAACTGCAGCCTATGAATGTCTGCTATGGGAATATAATAATCTAAAGATTTGTAAGTTGACACCATTAGTACTTAATTTTAAGGCCTCTTCTTTCCAAAATGACTTCAAACTGTGGCATCCTGTCACATAATTGAAATATAAATAGGTTTTTTTTTAATAGAAAGTTCTAAAACAACAGTAAATGGTTTAGGTTTTGTCTTCTCATGAGATACCACTCCCTGCTCTTTCCTTCCTGCCTTTTTTTTTTTTTAAATCAGCATCCAGGGCTGTTTTCTAAACAACTAAAAACCACATTGTGTTCAAGCTGAGAATGAGGAAGAATTTAAAGTCAAATATGCTTTTCGTAACCAAGCATTTTCTCTCTAAACCAGTAAGATGGAGTAGAAGATACACAGTTATTTAGAGTTAGTTTATGAATGTCTTGAGTGAAAACCTTAATTTTTCTTGTTTTTCTTGTGCATTCTCCTAGATGGAGAGCTACAGTCAAAACAGCAGTCCCATTAGAAAGCTTGTTCACTCTGCCCATTAAGATTATAACTGTGAACTTTCTCTTGATCATGGAACATTTTTTAACAAGTGAATGCAGTGTTTGGCTCTCCTGCAGTGAGTTTATGCCCCATTGGCAAAGTGTGTGTCAACAAAGTAATTGAGAAGCAGGCAAAAAGGGATACTACAGACAAGTAATGGACTTGTAGGCTATTCCAAATTCCTACTTCTTATCAAAATTGGTTCTAAGAGTAGTTGAGAAAGTTATTGAAAGGTTAAAAACTACAAATTAAATTCTTGAGATACTTTACATTCTACCTTCAAGAGGTAGGAATAATTTCTTCTGGAGAAGAGCTTTTCCTCCCTGTGATTTTATTTTCTTTTGAATAAATTCATGATGTTGGGGTTTGCAAAAATTGAAAGTTTGCTAAAACAAAATAGTGGAATTAACACTGTAAAGAGTACCGAATGGTTTCTGTTAACATTTCTGTGCAGATTCTGGATGTCAAGTTTGGAAGAAAATAAGTAGAAATCAGAAATGGAAAAATTAGAGAAATGCAATATATTGGAATGTTTATGAAAAGACATTAATTTGAAATGTTACTTAAGAAATAAATCCCCCATATTTTTCAAGGGAATGTGAAATAGGTTGTGAATGTGCAAAAGACTTTTGGAGTTGCCTGTAGTAAAAGCATTTTTAAATTTCTTGGAATAGATGCAAGTTGGGAGACCATTGAAGAGGAGTTGTCTGAAGGCAGATGTGAGACAGAAAGAGGAAAGGGGAGGTAGCAGTGATATACGTGAGGTACATACGCAGTTATTTTTTTTTTAAGGGACTTTCTCTACGAAATTGCAGCAGAGGTGCTTCCTGTTCTTGAATCTACGGAACAACTGCTTTGAATTTTTTGTGTATTTATACATATAGTGACAAAAAAGATGGATTCATACCCTTCTTATGCTCTGAAATTCAATATGCAAGGCATAACAGAAAAGGTATTTGAAATTTGTTTTCTGTTTCTTTTTTCATTGCCTAGTAGTCTGCGGCTGTGGCCACTCGGAAGATTTTGAGGTAGAAGTTTTTTAAATATGAGAAAAATCTTTGGTCTCTCTTTAAGATCTAACTTACTTCTGTCAACAATTGAAGATACTCATTTTTGTTAGAGATAATGGTGATGAATGTATGGTAAGAAACGTATGAAAGTGTATCTGGTTGTTGTCTTCTGTTTTCTTTCAATTTTTCAGGCAGAGAAATAGAGGTATGAATGGAGAATTATGTACTCTTCCTGGTGTCTGTTTTAGTTCTCAGTTATGCAGCTGACAAAAAGGAGGTATCAGGGGTGATTATTCATTTATATGATATAAAGTTGGTTTTTGATGGCTTTCTAGCTTGAAAACTTCAACTTGAAATCCATGCTGTGCAGTGTAAAACTGTTTGTAAGTGTGATGGCGTCCGAGACCGATAGATTTTGCTGATGGCAGATGAAGATGTAGAAAGCAGGAAACTGGTGCAGAGCCATGTTTGCTGGCTTTAATTTTCAAAGTCAGTTCTGTGTGGGATTGAATAGTGTTACACTGGTAAACTGAATCTGCTGCTGTAGAACCTGAAAGCTTCTCTGTACTCCAGAGGACTTGCCAATATTACTAGCAGAATTGGAAAGGTAAATTTATCTTAAGCAGGAAGTGTAGTGTAGTTGTTTTCGGAATTCTGGTGTATAGCTTGTGGTTTAGGATCAGTGAAATGGGGCAGGGATTTGTGTAACTGTACTGCTGCCTCGGGTCAGAATAGCAATCTAGATTTCTTGTTATGCAAGCAGAATACAATCTTTAAATAGTGCACATTAGTAGTAGGATGTCAAAGATGTTCATGCTGAATCATGGTGCAGAACCTCATCTGTTGCTTGTTATTTAATTTTCTTCTCTGTATTTGTTTGTCTTTATCACAATCAGCCAGAGGTTGCAGGGGGACTGAGAGTGATTTCTTGCTTGAGACCCTTGTGCTTCTTACACACCCCTACCTATCTCTGTTCATGCTTTCATAAAACTTTTCATAAAACATAAAAAGGTCCTGTGCATATTCAGGGACCCTTTGCAACTGAAGTTTGTGCTCCTGGGCAGGAAAAGAGAATATTTCCCATGTCTAAGAACACTTTGGTTCTGCTTGGTACCCACCAGGGCAGAGAGCTGTCTAACTCCTGCTGTCCTTCCCAGCTGCTTTGCCACAACCATTTGCAATCTCTGGCACCTCTGTGACTTCCTGCCTGTGCCCTGGGGTTTGTAGGCTCTTAGGGCCTTCACTGCTCTCCTCAGCAGTCTGAGTACTGCCAATTAAGTCTGGGTCAGCTTTGCCTCAGTAGTCACTTGTCATAAGTTCAGTCCCCATACAGGCCATTCACTTAAGAGTTGGACTTGACCCCTATAGGTCCCTTCCAACTCAGAATATTCCGTGATTCTGGGGAAGCTGTGGCATTAGCAGAGGCACTGAGGTTATATGTAGACTAGGGAAATTATTTCTGTTGGTACCTAAAAAGATAACTTGCTTTATGGGTCAGTGAATTGTTATGCTGGGGTACTTTCTATTTGGTTTTTTGGTGTTAGTTTTTTGTTGTGGTTTTTTGTTTGTTTGTTTGTTTTCTCTTTTTACACACTTGGCAGGAATTTGCAGTTCATTTAATGAGCTTTTTCTTTTGTTGTTTTTGGAAATTGTACTAGAATACTGTCTAAATTTTTGTTTTCAGGAATTGTTTTAGATTGTGTAAATCTAAATGAGAATGAGAGTAAGGAATACTAGCTTCTTATTCCAAGTTTTGGGTAGGGCCATTAAACTTGTTCTACTTACAGTGAAATGCAAGAGAATATAATCATGTGAAAATGTTGACTCTGAGGTTTTGTTCCTGTCAACAGCAATCAAGATTTTATGAGGAGAAATGTAACATCACAGGCTGTAATTATTTACTATTGCTGTTGTTATTACTCTTACAATGGTGAAAGCAAACCTAGTAAAACAAAATCTTTCCCCCTTTTCCAGCCCATCTCCTCACAAAGACACAGAGTGACCAGGATTGTCTTGTGCCAGTCAATAATTTGTGATTTGGCTGTGTTCACTCTTCTAAGGGACTGAGCACAGAGCAATGACAGCACTCTGGGC